TCTGTAAGACTATCGCACTCTCTAACGTCAATTTCGTTGAATAACAGTGCTTATCGCTGGGTGACAAGCTCTTGTAATATGCGGAGAACATTTTGAAAATGACATCTAATCAATATAATTTATAATCTTTATAAACCTAACTATTTTGTACCGTATCCGACCTATCCGTGAAATTCTCTAGCCATAAAGGCTATCTCTCCCGGGTTTTCTGCAACCATGATGCGCGCGCATCCTGAATGTTTACAAACCTATAATTGGTCTATACACCGAAGCATTGCCGTGTTAGAATAGAAAAGGGTCCTGTCCAAACTGTTGCTATAAAATTAGAAGCACACAATTCCCTAAAATATTATTATATGCTTCAACATTAAGATTTCTACTCGAAGGAAATTACTAGAATAGTCAAACCTGTTCATCTTTTTGAATTAAAAAAAAATACACACAAAACATGAGAAATTAAGGTAAGCGTAAAAAAAGTCCTCCATAAGTGTTGATTTTTGGTGAATTGCATGGAAACTAATGGGCATCATTTTGACCCTGAACCTTTCCAAAACACGTGCGTCACATTCATGACACTAAATGAGAAAATGTGACAAAATTTCAAGAAATAAATTGTGGTTTAACAAAACAATATGCTTAAAACTGCAAGCTTGTTTTGAAAGATTAATAAATGCATGATTTTTCACCAATGTGTGATTTAGCTGTGATTCGGCCGTAGGTAATCACAGCTTGCCGATATATAGCCATATCTCACATCTATGAGTGTGATATTGCGTTTATACAACAGTTCGACAGCACGAGTGTGTAAATACATAAAAAAATACAGTGCTGTCCTGGAGCTCACATCTCCGAAAACGTCAAAGCTAATTTTCAAATAGACGTTATCTTCAGGGCTTGACATTAACACCCGCCAACCAGCCAAATGCGGGTGGATTTCAGCTGTGGCGGGTAACACGGTCACTACTGCTGGCCAAACTGTTGCTATAAAATTAGAAGCACACAATTCCCTAAAATATTATTATATGCTTCAACATTAAGATTTCTACTCGAAGGAAATTACTAGAATAGTCAAACCTGTTCATCTTTTTGCATTAAAAAAAAATACACACACAAAACATGAGAAATTAAGGTAAGCGTAAAAAAAGTCCTCCCTAAGTGTTGATTTTTGGTGAATTGCATGGAAACTAATGGGCATCATTTTGACCCTGAACCTTTCCAAAACACGTGCGTCACATTCATGACACTAAATGAGAAAATGTGACAAAATTTCAAGAAATAAATTGTGGTTTAACAAAACAATATGCTTAAAACTGCAAGCTTGTTTTGAAAGATTAATAAATGCATGATTTTTCACCAATGTGTGATTTAGCTGTGATTCGGCCGTAGGTAATCACAAAAATTTTCCCTGAAAACCACGATTGCAAATTTGACATTTTAAAGAGTTAAAACAAGTAGTTAATATACATTTTAGTTCAATATTTGAATTTGATATATTGTCAACGCTGACTGTTTTTGCTCCATTTGGTTAATTGAAAATAGTTATAAACAAAGCTTAAAGCAGAACAGTCGCGCATGTCTGAGCAACACACAGCGGTGTTTCGTTACTGAATGATTCGCCTTTTTGAATTTTGAATAATTTCTGTCAATGATTCAGTGGTCCATTCATAAAGACAGTGAGACACCGAAGTTGGTGTTAATAATGTGGCTCCTCTGTGTGTTGTGTTTGTCAAACGGTGTACAGACAGGTTTCTCCTGCATAGAGAATTATGAGGCAGCCGTCTCCGTCAAATTTTGTGCCGCCTCTGGTTGTAGCGAAACAATCACGTGCAAGCATCACTGAACAGCGTCCATTAGGGCTTTTAGTCCAAAAGTGTGCACATTTGAAGAAATACTGATATCTTTACACACATTCACTTTACATTTCTTTAGACAGAATCATAATTTCTGTTCATTTTCCACTTAATTATGCAATGTGATGAGCATTAGTAGCTTCCAGCACGGTCTCAGTATGTTTTCTCTTTCGCGATCACTGTTCTGACTCGGAGGATGCTCATTCGATGCTCATGTCACTTATATTGTGCGATCATAACCCGCACTCTCATTCTGATGACGGGCTTTTATTACTAGGTTGAAAACCGATAAAAATGTTACAATTCAAATCAGTTGAGATGTTAAATGAATTGCGATACAACTGGGGGAAGGATTTATATGAATGTATAAATTGTATTTATTTTTTTTTTTTTTCATTTTGACTCCGTGTATGTATAATGCAAAATTAAAGTAGTGTTCATAAGCGGAGTGCTGCTTTGTTTACAGCGGTAACCAAGGAAACGCTGTATCGCTGCTGTTCCATAAGCGCCACCTGGTGGCAGAGAGTAAATTTGCTTCTCTTTCAGCCTGTCTGCTGTTACGGTTTCATTCAGATTGTATATGCAGTTTTATGTAGAATAGTTTCACAAAACTACAGTCTGACAATCCTGTTTTTGCTTCAAATTTCGAAATTATACAATCTAATTTAGATTAAAAACTGCTCATGCTGCATGTATGCAGCATGTTTGTTTGGATCATGATTAAAATGCAGTGTTGCCTCTAATTTTCAACTAAAAGGGCACAGGTAAAACCTCAGTTTGTTTTTTATGAAGATTTTTTTTCCTATTTGTGTTATACATTTTCAATTTAGTTTTGTTATTTGACATATTTCAGTTTCTCAAAGAATTGTGCAGCATTTTGTCCAAGCAATAATAAAATGACACCTTTTCATTTATAATTTGTCTTAAATCTCTCTTTTAAAGGGTTAGTTCACCCAAAAATGAAAATTAGCCCATTCTTTACTCACCCTCAAGGCATCCTAGGTGTATATGCCTTTTTTCTTTCAGACGAATCCAATCGGAGTTATATTAAAAATTGTCCTTGCTCTTACAAGCTTTAGAATGGCAATGGGTGGGTGTTTCTGCTCAATAGTCCAAAAGAAGTGAAATAAAGCGCATCCATCCATAATAAAACGTGCCTCACATGGCTCTGGGGGTGAATAAAGACCTCCTGTAGCGAATCAATGCATTTTTGTAAGAAAAATATCCAGATTTAAAACGTTATAAACACTTTTCCCTCACTTCCGCTAACTGTCATATGTGCAAGCCTTTCCGGCGGATGACATAGGATATATGCGTAGCGAATGCGCCTGTGAGATATGCTAGTCTCACAATCCTCCGACATTTTTCTTTACAAATCCTCGTTTTGTACTTCTAATTTGTGACCTGCGTTTTGTTTTGCTCTCTCCCCCGCGCTTTCGTCACTAATCATCCTGAACATGCACTACACACTCTCTCGTGAACGCATACAACAGTTAGAAGTGAGAGAAAAGTGTTTATAACGTTTTAAATATGAATATTTTTCATACAAAAACGCATCGATTCGCTACAGGAGGCTTTTATTCATCCCCAGAGCCATGTGAGGCACGTTTTATTATGGATGGATGCGCTTTATTTCACTTCTTTTGGACTATTGAGCAGAAACACCCACCCATTGCCATTCTAAAGCTTGTAAGAGCAAGGACAATTTTTAATATAACTCCGATTGGATTCGTCTGAAAGAAAAAAGTAAAAAGTGTTTGTTACCGCCAGTTAAAGGGTGGGTACAATCTGTGCACATGATCAGGAGGATACCACCTCTGCCTCATTTTGAGCCAGGAAAAACCCTGTGTATTCACTACACAGCACGACTGTTTAATGATTAATTGTGATGAATGATTTTTGTGACTTTATGTGTGTGTCAGCTGCTCATGTATAATAACTAATGGGATTGTGATTATAAAGACACTTTTTCATCTTCTGTCCTTAACAGACCACAAAATTGGCCAGCCAAGCAACTCTGAAGGTACGTCTCATCAGTGTGATGTGAACCTCTCCAATCTGATCACTCGAGTCTGTTTTCTATGAGGACTGGCTTAAAATATAAATTTACCTATTTCAGACCTGCCAACCTGTAAGCATTTTGCTTAGCGGATATGCATATTAGGGCCTTTCGCACCGCTTTAGTTCCAGAACTAAATGTACAGTACTAAAGTACTGGGACGATTTTGCGCGAGCTATTTCCCAGTACCATTTAAAGGGTTGCATTCGCACCGACAGTGTGTACTAGGAAGTGATGGTAAGCCGGTCAACAGCGACGTCATTTGTGCGCGGCGTTCAACAACAGAAACAAAGAACAACATTAACAACAAGGGCGTTTTCGTACGCGTTTGGCCAATCAATGTCTACTTGCGTCACGATTAGTACCAGTTGTGCTGGTTAGACCCTGCTCCGGAGTAGGAGCTAATTTGGTTCTCGAAAAAGGCAGTCCGGTACTAAAATCGCACCCAGTTGCGGTGGTGCGAAAACGCCAAAAAGTGGTAGTTCCACAATTAGTTCTGGTACTATGAAAAGGTTCCCGCGGTGCGAAAGGACCTTTTGACCTCAAAGTACGCTGGTACGATTGTCACTCTAAACTACGTCAAAACCTGGTGACGCCTCCGTCCACACATGGTACTCAAATCAAGCAACCGCAAAAGAAGTGATCGACCAATCAAAGTGTTTTTTCAGTTTTGCGTTTAAATGATTTCCATGCATTTTATTTCTCTCCAAACTGGCTCTGTTTGTGTGTCCGTGAGTCTGCGCGCTGAGATGAGAAAACGCCTCCCCGCTATAATGAGCATTTGACAAAGCAACACACGCCAAACATCTTCCCTTGTGATGACTTGTAATGAGAAGCATTTCTAAACCTGTTGTCCAACAAAAATTAAAAATTATAACGTACTCCACAACATCAGTTGAATGTTAGTAATAAGTTCCTTTTGTGATTTGATGTAGCTTCTTATCACAGAATGACGCAGAAATATATAATCACTACTGTAATAAAGGCTATGTCGATTAGCAATGGAGTATTATTATTATGAAAATACCGGAGATGGCTTAAAAAACACTGATAAGCTATACGTTGTATTGTCTTTGTTTGATCAGTTTAAGCGTTTCTATATTCTTTTTGTTCAGCTACAGCAATGCCTTTGTCCATATAAGGGATTTCCTGGAGCGTCATCAGTTCTAGTACTTCTGTGATGCATATGTGGATTTTCTGCACAAGTGCGCCCTCCGGCTTCCAGTATGAATGAAACAGACATTACATGTGTTTATAGCACTAAATAATGGCAAGTCCATAAAAATAATACTTCTCTCAAAAGAAAATTGAAGTAGACATATGATAATCCATGTTTTTCTACAGTGTACAGAAGTTTACTATAAGTTTTAATTGAAGTGTACTAATTTTTTATTTTTTTTTAATCGCATTTTAAATCACAGATGGCACAAAATACTCTGATGTGCCAAGCCATCAGAACCAAACTGAAAACCGTGGTTAAAAACTGAGGTATTTATTGAACCGTGGGCTAACTGTATTGTTGCATCCTTTACTCTAAAATACTGTATAACAGAAATAGCACAAAGGTGTGTGTGAATTGAGTGCAGACCCTGAGTTCTAACTCTTCACTTTAACAAACTGATATTGATTATTGAATCTTATTAAAATAAATGCACACACACACACACACACTAATTGTGAGATGCTGAAGAACTAGTCTGTGTGAATGCAGGCACACATGGGCTGATATACAACAAACACATGGGCTGCACCTCTAGAAAATACTGAACTAAACCATCATAATCTAAATGAAAAGTGGTGATTATGTGATGTGAGGAACGCTGCTCACAGAAGACCATGTTAAAGGTATAGTTCACTCAAAAATGAAAATGTGCTCACCCTCAGGTCATCCAAGATTAGGATGTATTTGTTTCTTCACATCAGATTTGGAGAAATTCGGTATTCCATCACTTGCTCAGCAATGGATCCTCTGCAGTGAATGGGTGCCGTCAGAATGACAACTGATAAATTGGAGGAAATGTTATGATGGGTTATGGACTCATAAATAAGAGATTTATTTATTTAGCCAGAGGTCATGGTTTGAAGTTAAAACGTCATGATGGATTTGTTTCAGCTTTTGTCTTCTCCAGATGTTAACTGATGGACTGGAGTGGTGTGGATTACTTGTGGATTATTGTGATGTTTTTATCAGCTGTTTGGACTCTCATTCTGATGGCACCCATTCACTGCAGAGCATCCATTGCTGAGACAGTGATGCAGTGACACATTTATCCAAACCTGTTGAAGAAACAGACCCATCCTGATCTTGGATGCCCAAGGGGAAGCACATTTTCAGCAAGTTCTCATTTTTGGCTGAACTATTCCCTGAAGTCCAGCAGTAAGACCTCTGCCGTCTGTAGTTTATATACGCTGCTTTATTCTGTCTCTGCCGCCGCTGCTGTGGATGAAGTTACGGGGCTATAAACCACCGCCTGAGCCGGTAACACTCACCGCATGCTGCACACATGTGTGTTTCTGTGTATGTGAGAACACTGAGTCAGATGCTCGACTTGTGACAGGCGTTCAGTGTGCAGATGCTGCTCGTTTTCAGTATGCATATCATAACTTCACTTGATTCCCGCCATTCACTGCAGCTAATAAAAACTCAGATTTCAGTCCATTTGAAGGTCATGTGACCGATCATGCCTCCTCACACAGTGTTGATGGTCTGTCATGCATGTGATGTGACTCATGTTTTATTTGTGTGTGAAATACACCATTTTGTGAGAGTGTGTGTTCACCCGTGTGTTTCTCTCTCAGGCTTCTGAATTGGGACAGACGTTAAATGACAGTGTTCTCAAGCCCACACAGGAGAAGGTAACCAGCATGTTTGTTACTAGTATGTAACTAGTCTAGTTAGGAGTGAGTGTGTTTCTCACAGCGCTGCCAGTAAATGAGAGACGCAGAAAGATTTTCATCATGCCAAAGTACATTTTCTACATTTGGATAAAACTAATTTTGTATACAAGTAAATTAATCCAGGTTTAAAAATATTCATGCCAACGTTCAGAAGTTTAGGGCAGGTAAGATTTTTATAAATGTTTTTGAAAGAAGTCTATTTTCACCAAGGCTGCATTTAGTTAAAAAGTGAAAAATAGATCGTTCAGATAAATGTTTTTAAATGTGTGAATATCTGTTAAACTGTAATTTATTCCTGTGATCATTACTCCAGTCTTCAGTGTCACATGATCTTCAGAAATCATTCTAATATGCTGATTTGCTGCTCAACAAACATTTCTGATTATTATCAATGTTGAAAACAGTTGTGCTGCCCATACATTTGTTTTAGGGTTTCTTTGATTAATATAATGTAAAAAAAAACAAAAAAAAAACAGCATTTACTTGAAATATAAATCTTTTTGTAACATTATAAATGTCTTCACTGTAATTTTTGATCAATTGAATGCAGTCTTGCTGAATTGCTTTTAAAGGGGTCCTAAAAACGAAATATCTCCCTTTGGAGTGGACTTTGAGATTTGTAAGTTTCTAGATCTTTTTTATGCCCAAACATACACACTACACACTGACTAAAATTTAAAAAAAGTGAAAAAGCATAATAGGACCCCTTTAAAATGAATCTTACTGACGGCAAACTTTTGGATGGTAGAGTATATCATACATGTGGTGTGTTGCCTCTGTATAAATAATTTAGTCTTAAGATTAAAGTTATAAATTCCTAAAAAAGCATTTTTCTCAAAATGCTTGCTGTGAGGGTAAGATGTGCCAGTGACTGCTCACTGTGAGCTTTGCATCCAAATACACTACCAAGTACTATAATCAGGAGTGTTAGTCTGACCTCAGTCTCATTCTGTTACGCCAGAGTGATATTTTGCATAAACTGTCAAAAATTGTAGCCTTATACATATACAGTATGTTTATCAGATTTTTTTGTGGTGAAATGTTTCTGTGTGAGGTTCAGCATCAGCAGTGGATCTCACTGAATGAACTCTCTACAGATGCCATCATGAAGCTAGTTCTTCTGTTGCTGATCAGTGCAAATGTTAGACGACATAGAAGCGTGTTTCAGTCTGATGTCCACTGCTCTCTAACACTGCTCTGACTCATGTAGGTGAAGGATGGAAAGTTGTTTGATGAAATGGCTGTCAGCATCACAGGTCTGGCCACAAAGGTACGAGGCTGCCGGCTGCTCGCGATCGTCTGATGTGATGCAGTGACGCACGTCAGCTGATCGTGAGCAGAGAGAAACCCTTGTGCTCTTTCTGTGTCTCAACTCACTTTTCTTTCTCTTTTTCTGCTGCCATTGTGATTACGGTGGTGAGTACGATGATTTAGACATAAAAGAGCGTATGTAATCATGAGAAGACTCTGTGGAAATCAGTCAGTAGCCATGGATGCTTGTATTAAGGACCCCATGACAATCCAGATTACTTTGGAGTTTTTAGCAAAAATAAATGATAAAAACAGCCGTAATATTTCTCGCCATGAAAATAGCCATAGAAGCTGGAATGGCGTTAAACACAAACAAACAATCCAGATTACAGCTCTCTGTGCTCCTAGTTCTAGCAGATACACACTTTTCATATGTACAGTATCTCTCTTCTGGAATAACAGACTGAAATATTGCTGACTCTAATTAGTTTTTTTGTCTCATGCTCTGAAGAAAGAGCCGCCCCGTTATGTTCTGCCCAAACTTACTGTTTAATAGGAAAGACGAGAACTTAAAAAAACTGTTAAAAGAACGTAAAACGCAAACTGTTTCATGGGGTCTTTAAAAATAAAATCATGTCATGTTTACAGTAATACATCACTGCTTTTTAACAAAATAACTTGAAGGCCCTTTCACACCAAAGCAAAAAAATACAAAATAAATAAATAAATACATTGGTCTGTTCACACAGAGAATGAATGAGCTGAACGAAATGCAAAGGTGACTCGTGCATTTTCAAAAACTATTTCGATTCATTTTCACATTCTCCATTAAAATACCTTCAATGATATGTGACTTGTTGGAATCGGACAAAAAATGACTGAGCTACAGCCATTTGAAGGCGATAAAGTCAGCAGGATTGATTTTGAGAAAAATCGAGTTCAATTTTTCTGAAGATTCCGAAGCAACAGAACAAAGATGCAAATAAACGGTAGTTTAATCAAGAGCAGCGAGTGATTCTGTCTTTTCTTTTAATGTCTGATTAACATTGAGACAGATCTATATTAAGACCTACTGTAATGGATGAATCTAATATAATGTTACACATCAGATTTTTCCCCAACCATTAATTAAACGTTCATGTAAGACATAACAGATTATGTTTGTGTGAATCTCGCCATATTTCGCAATAATGTACTTTATAGGGAGATCGCATGCTCTTCGAAAGGTGCGTCTTATGCACGTGCTTTGCAAATGTCAGTCAGCGCGATCGTTTTGTTTTCATCAGCATGGGTTTGAAAATCATATTTCACTGGTTTGTACTCATCTCATGGAGAAATCAATATGAATATTCACAAAGCTGGAATGCTGCGCTTTGCAACAATAGTCCTACCACTTGTGGTGAGAAGCAGCAGCAGTGAGCAGAGAAAAAGGCACTCCTCAGAAAATGTACAAATAAAGATCATTTTAGGTGTTTAATTACTATTTGGAGCTTTGGGATTGCTAGAAGAGGGCTTAATGAACTCCGTTTTGTGAAAACCTCAAATTCGACCTTTTTCACTTCTTTTGCCTGTAGCTCAAAATTAGACCGTGCACATTCCAACTAATTTTGCCAGCACGGGTCACACATGTAAACACATCCGCTGCTGCTCCAGACTCTCATTTCAGTCATAAACTAATGACACACGCTCCTTATGTTGAACTGAAGTGAGTCGAGGTCAGCAGCACCAACACTGGGAACTAAAGTGAGATTAAATCCATAAAGTCACTTGTATTTACTGTGTCATTATATCTTCCTGTGCGTTTGATTATGAGGCGGGGTGAAGGGGTCTTAAATCATGTTCAGCTGGTTTTTTGTGGTTGAATTGTTCGGGGTCAGTGGTGTTGAGGCGCTGTGTGTTTGTGCAGGTTCAGGGTGCAGGCGCTAAAGGCTGGAAGGACATGACATCTTTCTTCGGTGGGAAACAAGAGGCCGCTGATGATGGGTAATTACAGATTTATTACGTTATTATTACTTCATGATTTTTGAACATACATTTACGGGGAAAAGTACAATACACAGGGCTTAAAGTTCTACAGCACTGTGCCGGATCTCCGGCGTGCGGCGTTTGGCTGCGGGGGAAAAAAGATAGTCATCCTTCATTTAAAAACACTTGTTGATATCACGTTCGAGTTCATGAGTTCGCCTACCAGTGTATGAGAGGAACACATCTTTCACTCTAAGCCAAACTAACATTACTAGCCAATCAGAAGTTTTTGCTCTTATAAACAGGAGACGCGCATAATAGTATCCAATTGCAGAGTCGCAGCTGATGAATAGAAAAGAAGCCTTGGTCTCGAGCACGACACGTTGAAAAAGCTGCGAGGCGCAATGGTAAAAGATTTCCATCTAGCGTCATATTTACATAGAAAAGCTATTAAAAAAGCA